ATTAAATTACAGCCAAATACTTAGTGGTGAATCCATCCCCTAGCTCATTCTCCCAGTTGCCACCAGCAGCCTAGTTTATAATCCCCAGGCAGACCAGAGGACTTCTCTCAGGGTAAAAGTGACTCAAGAGAAAGACAATGAGAGAGAAAGGGTGAAGGTTCCCTTCTCAACTGCCCATCAAATGAGGGAGTAATCCAAAAAAAGACCATCGGATCCAAAACTTAGTCCATCCAAAACACGAAAGAAGTGAAAGGAATACCCTAGGGCAGTGTTAAATAGAGATCCCAGGACAATAATTATGCAACATACAAGAGAGCAACCAGGCCAGATTTGAGCAAGTTTGTCAAACTTCATGACGAAGTTTGTAATGAATTACTACAGATATTTAGAAAAGGAAGCAAATGTGAAGGAAAAAAAAAAAAAGGCAATGTTTACCATGAGAAGAAAAAAGATGCACAAAATGGGAAATATTACCATGGTATATATCAGTGATGGCAAACCTTTTGAGCTCGGTGTGTCAGCATTTTGAAAAACCCTAACTTAACTCTGGTGCCGTGTCACATATAGAAATTTTTTGATATTTGCAACCATAGTAAAACAAAGACTTATATTTTTGATATTTATTTTATATATTTAAATGCCATTTAACAAAGAAAAATCAACCAAAAAAATGAGTTCGTGTGTCACCTCTGACACGCGTGTCATAGGTTCGCCATCACTGGTATATATGCTACATGGTTTAATTCACAATGTGTATTAATTTAACAAAAACTGTAATATAATTATGTTAGAGAGAATGAATGAAAGGAAGTAGAGGGAGCCTAAACCCTCATCTTTCATAGGAGAAAGTCTATACATAACTGCTTTTTCATCCTAGGTAGTTTTCTTATAAAATTTCCATCTACAACTTTTTTAAAAGGTTTTTAAAGTTTAGTTTTGAATTTTCTAAGTTATAAAAAATAAAACTTTAACTTTTATAAAAATTAAAATTATATAAGACTTCAAAAAATAAAAACTACTATATGAGGTTACTTGAGATTCTTGAGCCAACAAAATGTCTGAGTTAGTGATTTGGGGACCTGGTGACTTTTTAATAATGACAACACCCAGGCTGTGAGTGTGACCAGGTGGTTGAGAAAGAGAGGTAAAGGAATGAAGAGGCCCAAGTGTTAGCTGAACTGTCAATCCAGATGCTGAAGCTGCCTAAAAATGGTATGTAGCTGAGCTAGGTATTTCCCAAGTCCACGCTTCCACACTTTCTATCATTTTTTCTATCCTAATATACACCCTATCAACAGGTTTCCATGTCCCCTAGCTTCTGGTTAGGTTTTCCCAGTAGGGAATTCTAGGGGGAGGTTAGGAGAATAAGGTCAAGACATTTATTTCTCCAGCTTCCTCCCTGCAAAGTCACCTCATGTTGGCTGTGTCCCTTCAACCAAAAACTACCACTCGTCTCAAGGTAGCCAACTCCATACTCTTCTTGAGAATTCAAGGACCCACTCTCTCTCCTATCCCTTCCAGATGTTAACAATTTGGCTACAGGTTAGGACACTACCTCTTTAGGTGCCACATCTTTATAAAGTACCTTTACAAAATAAACCCTCCTCAAATTATCCTATTTCAAGTGTGCCAACTGTTCCTGTTTGGGACCCTGTGTGATGAGGTCATGAGGATGACAATGATGATAATGATGTAAGGTTGTAACAGAGAGTAAAGTAATAAAAGTGATTACCATTTAAATAATGATTACTATTTTGAGCTCTAGGTTCCAAGAACTTTTCTAAGATCTTCGTAAGTATTAACTCATTTTTCATCACAAGCATCCTATGTGGCAAGCAGAGTTTTTTATCTGTTTCATTTCCATATACCAAAGCCTAGCACAGTTGCTGGTACCTGGTATGCACTCAAACATGGATTTAAAATACACACAACAATAAGCAGGCTTGGGAGAAACCAAGATGGCGGCATAGGTTAACGCCGGAGTTTGCTGCCTCGAACAACCACTTCAAAAATACAACTAAAAGACGGAACGGACATCATCCAGAACCACAGGAAGGCTGGCTGAGTGGAAGTTCTACAACTAGGAGGAACCAAGAATCAGAGGAGGAGCAGTGCTGAAGTAAAATACTAAGGTGCGGAGTGCGCGCAGCTCGGGCTGGTGGCTGAGGGCACGGTTGACTGTTTCAATCCGGAGGGAGCCTCAGACTCTGAGCTCCAGATCCGGGTGAGTCTCTAGGGACCCAGACTCAAACGGGAGAAGCAGGACTGTCTGGCTACGGTCCCTCCGAGGTTTGCAGCGGTTGCTGGGACAGAGAGGCAGAGCCCCTGGGGACGGACTGAGAGCAGCCATAACTGCTCCCTCCTCCGCCCTGTTGATCCTGTGGGACCCGCCCCGCCCAAGCCCCGAACAGAGGCATTTGCCGGATAGCCTCAGGCAAAGGCTAGATTAGCACCTCCCTAGAG